GATAGGTGATCTTTCTGTTCGAAACACTTCAAACCACACTACCTCAATATAAGACACGAAGTATGTTTTGCATAAATAAATAAACTGCAAACATATGTACTTTGACCGAAACATGATGGCCAGATCAAAATGGAATTGATAGAATCTGCGAAACATAGCTTTTACGGCATACCTCTAACAATTTATTCTCATTAGCTTTGCCACTCCACCAAGATATGAACCCTCGCAAAAGGAACCACCAAAGTGCACCAATACTCTAACACGGTTGCTAGCCATTCGAATAAGTGAACAACAAAAAGAACTAAACAAAAAGAAACAGAAAAATGCAGTAGATGAATGGTGCAGACGTTAAATTGTTAGAGATCACTGTTTTTTTGCCTGCATGATAAATGCAGAGACCAAATCCTCACCTGTGAAAAAGCAGTCAATTAATGAGGTGCGCAACTTATGCGAAAGATCTGCTTACGAATTCCGAATAGTCGTAAAATTGCCAGGTCGATATGGCCCTGCGAAAAAATGGTGCATAATCGTCAAAAAAATTATGCTTTATTCGATTTGGTTATGCGATTCTTAAATATGCGAGCGAAAAAATGTCGCATAATTGTCAATTATTCGGAGGATATATGCGAAATTTTTTCGCATATTAGTAAATTATGCGATTGACTTGGCTATTCAATTACCAGAAAATGCGTATTCAACAAACTATGCGAATTAGATGCGAAATATTTTCGCATTCATAAATTTGCAAGGTTGATATAGCCCTGCGAAATATTTTCGCAGTCCTAATTTGCAAGGTTGATATAGCCCTGCGAAAAGAAGGCGCATAATCATCGTAAATTATGCTGCATTCGATTTGTATATGCGATTATTAAAAATGCGAAAGATGTTCGCACATTTGTAAATTATGCGTTTGATGTGGATATGCGATTAAAAAAATGCGAAATGTTTACGCATAGTCATAAATTATGCGGCCGATTGGATATGCGTTGGTTCATTTGGACATGCGAGTGTAATATCGCATAGCATTTCGTGAATTTTGGGGTGTAAAAGAAGTTATTTGACGGGGTGGTGTGTAAAAGAAATAATAGATATATAATGGGGTGAAAAAGATTTTCACCCTAGTTAAAATTATGTGAGTGGATGAATAATGAATTAAAGTTGATGTGATGTGTAACATTGATTGGTTGATATTATTTAATTATATTGATAATATTGAAGATAGTAGAGTTGAGTTAAAGTTGAGTTTTGAGTGGGATATTTATTGTAGAAATCACATACAATCACGCCCTTAAAATCTAACTCACTTTTAACCAAACTCCACTATTTTCAATATTATTAATATAACTAAATAAAATCAATCAATAATTCTTACATATTACAATCACGTAATTTTAACTAACATCACTTCACATCATATCTTTCTTACTTTTACATCAAATTAATCATAATTATTTTATTTTAATGAAAATTCAAAAATCATAACTATATTTTTTTAAATTAACCATGATTAACACACACAAAAAAAAAAATATATCTACAGCTTAATTTTGAGTTTGTTTGATTTTTTTTGAGTTTGTTTGGATTTTTTTGTTTGATTAATTTTGAAAATGTGGTATGGTTAGTTGTTAGTGGATTTATTAAATAATATTTAAAATAAAATGATTAAAATTAAAATAATGTAAAAGTAGGAGAGAAAAGATGTGATGTGATGTGATGATTAGTTAAAATTATGTGAGTAGATGAATAGTGAATTAAAGAAGATGTGTGTATATGAATGATTGATTGACATTATTTAATTATATTGATAATATTGATTATAGTAGTGTTAAGTTAAAGTTGAATTAAAAAAAGTGGTTGAGTTAAAATATTAGAAACTAATTTTTTTATAAACAAACATGCGTTGAGAATTGAGCCAAGGTTATTACGGTCAGTTCCTAGTGCAATCATTTTCAGCTGTGTTTTTCCACTTGCTTTTAAGCCCCATTATTAGTTAGTAGATTCCCATTTCAGCCTCTGCACAAGCCCGCCGCGATCATGGCGGTTACAGACTTTTTCGCCGGCGAGATCGCCACCGAACTCCTCAAGCAGCTCATCGCCATCTCCCGCAAATCCGCCGCCTGCCGTTCGAGCGCCGAGCAGCTTATTAAGTACATCGGGGAACTTCTCCCTATCATCCAGGAGATCAAGCTCACCGGGAACGAGCTCCCGCAGCATCGCCAGCGCCAGCTGGACCACTTTTCCGAGACACTTTCTGGCGGCCTCGAGTTGGCGAACAAAGTCCTCAACTCTCCCCGTTGGAACGTCTTCCGGAATCTTCGATTGGCCAAGAAGATGGAAAAATTGGAGAAAAACGTCTCTAGATTCATGAACTGTCACGTCCAGGTAGTCAGATTTGTATATTTATGTATGTGTATAGATTTTGTGTTCCTGTGTGCGTGACTCTGTTTTTATTTATGGTTTTTGCTTGGCACAGGCGCACGTGCTTGCTGATGTGCATCACGTGAGGGTGGATACGGCGGAGAGGTTTGATCGGCTCGAGTGGCGGCTTGGGGCGATGAAAATCGGCGTGGACGGCGAAGGTGGGTGGCTGGGGGCGGCGGTGAAGAGGGTGGAGGAGGAAGAACGGTGGTGCGAGGACAATTTCGTAAATTTAGGTGGAAGTGGACTGGAACTGGGGAAATTGAAGGTAAAGGAGATGTTGATGTTGAAGAAGGATGGGAAGGAATCCAGTGTAGTTGGGATACACGGGATCGGAGGCATTGGAAAAACATTGCTCGCTAGAGAAATTTGCAAAGATAATGAAATTAAGAGTAAGCCTGTGTTTGAAAAATTACCATTTACCATAAAAGGAGTTTCGAGTTTATTCTGAAACTGCGAGAAAGAAAAATTCATGTGAAATTTTGCCAAAAAAATTGTTCTTTGTTTAATTCAGATGACTCCGAATCTTGTAGTAAATTTGAGGCCATTGCTTGAGACCGACTCATATTGTCACACCACTATATATAGTCTTCCCTTTACGTTTCCCTTCATATTTGCTTAAGGAATAATGAATAAAACTAACTTTAGCAATTGGTTTTGTTATTTTCAGGTTATTTCAACAACAAGGTCTTTTTTCTCACGGTTTCCCAATCGCCAAATGTGGAGCAATTGAGGTCGAAAATATGGGGAATGGTATCAGGGAATACTATTGTGGGTCATGCACACAGGTTTCCTCAAATAAACCTAGGATACAGTGTGGAAAGCTCTGCAAGAGCCCTTTTGGTTCTTGATGATGTTTGGACACAATCTGTTCTTGAGCAGCTTCTGATCAAGGTTCCTGGATGCAAGATCTTGGTAGTTTCGCGGTTCAAATTCCCTCCGTCGGTCGTTGATTGCTCCTATGAATTGGATCTGTTGAATGAGAATGAGGCAGTGTCCTTGTTCTGCCACTATGCTTTTGATCAAACTTCCATACCTTTTGTTGCTGATAAGGAATTGGTTAAGCAGGTAATAAGATTGTGAGGGTACCATTTCTTAATAGTGAAATGAGGAATAACAACTAATGGAATTGAATTATGCTTAAGATATTGTACCAAAAAAAAAAAAAAAAAA